CATCTGCTGATTTTTATCAGAGTTGCCAGCAGTAGTTTTCAAAAAATGTTTACTTTTCAGATAGAGTCCCTAAAAACAATTTCTAAATCTATCAGTCTGTGATAAATCTTGGACAGTAGTGGGGTATTTTGTTTTCCTGTTTGTTTGTTTTGAGAAAGGATGTCCTTTAACTTCTGATCCCCTTGACTCTGCCTCCTGAGTGCTGGGGTTATAGATATATGTTTTCTGGAGTCAAAACCAGATCTTTGTGGATGCTAGACAAGCACTCATGGTTTCATCTTTTGAGCATCCTAGTCTCCAACTCAGTCCTCTGACTTCAGGGACTAGAGGCATGACACCATTACCATGGCCTTTGGCCTCAGCAGTTTAAAAAAATCACTCCAAAGGCTCTTACAAGTGAGCAGAAATAGAAACTACCACTGGGGCATGGTGTGATTAGGAACAGGTTTTGTGGAAGCAAAACAACAGTCACTGGTTTTCTAATCCAGTGTATAATTCCCTGGAGGATTAAGTAAAGTAATGTAAATAACAGTTGTCCCTGAGGCTTGCAAAGACATGCCCAGTTAGTTCTTTATTTTACACTCATCCCACTTGTGCTGGTCCTTGGCACTTTATCATTCACTCTCTTGCTCTCCATCTTTCTCTGGTTAGCATCTGTCCTTTCCAGCTACCACCATCCTCTCAGAACACTTCCATGGCTATAGCCTATGGAAGACTGTTGCATGGCCACCTGCTCCAGCTGTCTCCTGTATGTTAGCTCCCTGGCATTTCAGGGACCTTTCTGCTTTACCTCCCAACCTGCTAGCACCAGGGAAGAGGGGCTGGTCAACACTGCCTTCCCTGGCCCACTGAGGCACTTTCTGAAAGGCCCTCAACTTTGCTGGTTAAGGCAGTCTTTCCATATCTGGCCTTTGTCCCCAGTGAGGTATCCATTGGGAACGACAGGATAACTATGATCACAAGGTGTGAGGAATCAGAGAGTTACCCTCAGTCAGCCCAGGGCCCAAGAGCTAAGCCTTTCAGAGAAGACCTTGTAGACCAGGTGGAAAGTGAGTGATTAAAGAGATACCCTAGGACCAAGAGGGCTGACTCTTTCCATAGGTCTGCCCACATAGGTGCTTTAGATAGAAGAGTGGAGCAGTGGGAACAGGTCTACAGAAATAGGAGGGGCAAGCAGTCCTAGCAAATTCTAGGCCCAGCCCTGTTCTGGATGGAGTGGTCTTACACAAGTGCAGCAATTAATTTTTGCCAACCTGTAGCAAGGACGGTGTCAGACCTGTGGTAGTTTGAACAAGAGTGGCTCCCTTAGGCTTCCATCTGTTTGAATGCTTGGTCCCCAAGTGGTGGAACTATTTGAGAAAGATTAAGAGGCATGGCCCTGTTGGAGGTCAGAGGGGTGAGTTTTGAGGTTTCCAGTGCCTATGCTGTTCTCAGCTTTCTCTCTGTCTGCCTCGTGGTTATGGATCAGATGTGAACTCTCAGCTTCTGCTCTAGTGCCATGCCTGCCTGCCTGCTGCAGTCAAGGAAAAGAAATCATGTGTGTTTGGTGAGGCAGTTCTCACCTAGTCCTGCACAGGCCTGCTCACCTGTATGTCCTCCTTCTTGGAGAGCTAGAGCAAAAGGTTTGCTCACCCACCCTATGGCTAGCCTCTTTTTTAGTGTAGTGTCCTCTCCTTGGTGAGTTTCCTAACACCTGGGTGGATGACAACTGAGTGCATCCTTGTGTGGCTCTGAAGGACATCTCATGGACCAGCAGATCTGCTTCTCTCCAACGATAGGTGAAACAATACATCAATACGCAAGAAAACTGTATCCTCTTGCTATGGAAGTGGGGCATTAAGGTTCTGACACATAGCCACTCCTTGAATAAAAATCATTCAAAATAATATTATTTTAGAGGTTAATACTTTGGGCTTCAACACAAGAGAATTTAATAGAATTATGACCGTGTGGCAGGGATGTCTTGTGGCACCTTACACTGAGGCAAGTATGGTTGTTTTTCTTAAGAAAATGGCTGTAATATTAAGAGTACAAATGCAAGCAGGTCTGCTGAGAAACAGAGCCAACACTCAAGATTGCATTTTCTGAGTCTCTAGTCCAAGGTTGACTTCAAACTTGATTTGTAGCTGATGATGACTTTGAACACCTGATGCCTCCCTTCCTGAGATAAAGGGTCACAGACCTGTGCCACTATACTTAGATTATGCAGTGCTTGGACTCGAACCCAAGGCTTTGAGCATGCTATTCAAGCACCGGAGCAGCCAAGCACTTCCTCCCAGCTCATGGTGGGGTTTCAATGAAGAAACTGAATGAAGGAACTGCTGTGTTTTGCAGGTTCTGGAATCTTGTTATACCACAAGATGGCAGTATAGCATCGGTCTTTTGAAACCAATAAAGGGTTACTGGCCCTTGTTTTGAGCGGCACCAAAAATGTTTGCAGGGTTCTTTAAATTGATCCTGTTTTGCAATGGGCTCTGTGTGATTTCCTTTCAATAAGACAATCTGACTTCCTCTCCTCAAACTTTGGAGTGTTGCAGGTGGCCACAGCACAGCCAGGGAGAAGGGTAAGAAATGAGGGATGTGACAAGGTCTGCTTTCCTATTAACTCTCTACCTTCTGTTTACAGTACTTCCAGGTTGCCTTTACTACAGAGAAAAAAAAAAAACAAGGCATTCAGCAAGATTCCTGCCAAGTGGCTTCAACAAGCTTTGGTTTCCTGGTCGTATTAATCACATTAGGTTTTATTTGCTTTAGTCTTCTGGGCACACAGCAACCACATTGCCTGCCCTCAAATGTTTGATAAATCTTAACACGTCTTAAATGTAGTAACTAAGGACAGGCCTGCATAGTTTAAAGAGGTATCTAGGGCAACTACCATGTCATTTGTTTAATGCACAGGGACCTAGAAGGGTCCTCCTTTACTTCACCTACCCCTACAATCAACTTCAGGTATCATTTGGAGGTTGGCAACTTTTGATTCATGTTTCAGTTTTCAAAACCAAGAACTAGCGCTATGGTTCAGGGGCAGTCTGCTACTGACAGCAGCAGCCCTTCTCACTGGGAGTCCTCAGAGCAGAAATGGTGCTTTTTCTTGATTCATAAGTTTGCTAAGTTGTGTACACTTATGGCCATCTTGTAAAAGTTATCACATATGGCATTTTATAAGGGTATATGGAAAACAAATGAGCTAAGACCTTCAGAGTATGACAACTCCTCAAAGTCATAGTTGAACACCATCACCAAGAATACCATTATGTCAAAAATTCAGCAACTTTTAGCAATTCCCCCCACACACACACATGATAAAGCCCTACTCCCAGCTTTGACTGTATTGCTGACTCTGCAGAGTTCATGGGTCAGTTCACACACACACAGCCTCCAAATCAGTGCATAGGTTAGATGGGAGTGCATGTAGGCACCTGGGTCACAAACCAGCAATTATTTAATGAATAAAACTGCTGGCAAGGTGCCCAATCTTTCAAGGTTAGATGGGTGTGATAGCTGAAGCATGTATTTACATTACACATATCTAATTTTAAAAATCCAGTTAACACAAACAGTGGCTCTGGAAGGGAACAGAGCATTTAAACAAATGTTCTTCAGTGGAGATCAGTAAAAGAAGTAGTTTTCTTCTTATTAATTCAGATTTTTAGTCACTGAAGGAAAAGCAAACATCTAAGAAGGGCACCCAGGGCCCCTCCCCAGTCACAATGCTGGACTCCAGTTATTAGCAGGGTAGCTGCCACTTTCTTAGCTTGATTGACAGGTTAATAAGGGACCTGGGGCCATCTTTTCAGTATGAACATACAACCTTACCAATTACTTTTAAATTATTGCTAATCTTCCAGAAATTAAAAAGCCTAAGGAAGAAAAATATCTGGAAAAAAATCTGCTGAAGACGCATTTCCTGAAAGTGGTTTGAAAGGTCCAGTTCAGAAAATTTGCCAGCATTTAGTCAATAGAACTTAGGCACTGACGATTTTTTTTTTTTAAAGGAAAACTTGTAGTTTATAATAGTTCATTGGTTCAATTAGGAGTGAAAAAGAAGGGAGTTTTGTAATGCAATTGTCCAGCAAAGGAAACCGCTTTAAATTGGGGGATTATGTGCACAGACCACCTGTGGGGTATTCAGAGCCTTTTCTATAATGTACAGCCCAGGCCTAGCTGCCTGCAGGCTGGCTAACAAAGCCATGGAAAGCTGTTGAAAAGGCTGAGCGCACTTGCGCCTCTGGTCTTCACTAACTGTTACAAGTCTTCGTCTCCCTCTCTCCCTCTCCTTTTTAAAGTAAAAGTCCCACATCCCTTTAAAGGAAGAGCGTTAAGGCTCTGCGGTGGCCAATTGGTCTGCACCAAGAGGAGCCAGGCAGCAGGGAAAGAAACTTCAGACTACACAGCACATTCGGAGAGGAGAAAAGATCAAAGTTTTTCAAACTCAAAAGACCAAGTTCCCTACAGATTAACCCTATTCATTTAGCTCCTCTTAAAGGAATGATGTGCGGAGCCACTGGGCAGACAGGTAAAAAGTTCAACAATTGCCAGCACATTCTTCTGCTGATTCAACAGCCTTCTGTTCAAATAAATTAGCTTAGTCTTGACAGAGGAACAATAGCTTTTTTTTTTTTTTTTTTCTCCAGGAAAAGCAGCACACTTGGAATACACAAGCATGGATCGCTATTAAGAAGTTAACCCATTCGTTTAATCTGTTAGCTAGCACCTGCCCTGTTACACCAGGTGACTTACAGTGCAGAGGTGACCTGTGGCTTCAAATACTCTCCACATTTCAGAGTGTGGCCAGGTCTGAAAAAGGCCATGGCTTTCAAAAACCACACACGGGATACTCACATAGGGCTGCTGTTTCAACTTAAGTGACATCATACCAGCGAAATAAACAGTCTGAGTGGATTGGCCGCCTATGCAAACTGTCCACCCACACACCACACACACCAAGATGAGCTGTCACTCACAGGTCAGCAAGGAGAGACCATGAAAGACACCATCTTTGGGGAAAGTGCAAAAACGCGATTTTGATTTCAATTCAACAATGACATTTACTTTGCTAACAGTTTAAGAACTAGAGGTTAACATGTAATTGTCTCCATGCCTAAAGTCAGTGTACAGAATGGCAAGCCAAAAAATGTCCGCTTCCCCACATGTCCTCAGCAAGCATAAGGGGAACAGTTCAGAAAAGTCGGGGGACAGGGTGGTATTTAAATCATTTATCAAAAGTCATTTTATTGACAAAATAGAATACTTATATTTGTTCTTACAGGGGTAGCCTCTAAACGTTTTTTACAAATAATGTACACGTTGTATATCTTTGGATATATACATATCTTACACGTTTTCCTTTTTCTTTTTCTTTTTTACAATTTAACAAATAATTATATAAATACATCCTCTAATGTAAGAAACCCGTATTTACTTGGGGTGCATAATTAAGACATCTCTTGTTTATTTAAGGCATCTGCCTGGTCATTAAGAATACCCAAACCGTGCAATCCCACAAGGTAGCAGTCGTCCCTCCTCCAGGGTGTATGAGGAGTGAATTTATGCAGGCGGAGTCGAGGGTGAAGCGGTCCCTTGGGTGAAGTCTGTAGGTTGACCTCAAGGTTTAGCCAGGGTACCCAGAAGGGTTCCAACTCTCCTAGCCCACTGAAACCAGTGCCTGGGGGAGGCGCTCCAGAGCGTCGGAGGGGAGGGGCTGGGCCTGGGAGGCTTCAATGCCAGGTACTTTGTTCTAAGTGAGTCATTTAAGTCCCAGCGGCTAATGGATACCATTAAGAGTTCATTATCATGCTAATAGCAATCAACACCGTGAAGGGGTGGGAACCCCGGCCGGTCTGGGGTCCCTTCGCCGCCCTCGGGTTCCCCATCCCCCACCCCTCTCCGCTCCTTCTGGGAGTCTGCTTAGGGTTCAGACCTGGGACAATGGCATCTGCTTAGGGTAAGACATGGAGCTGGCCGTGCCAGACCGCCACGTCAGGCCGGTGCTGACGTCGCTGTAGAGAGATCCCCCGCCTCCGCCGGGTCCCCCACCCCCGCCAGGCCCGGGACCGCCGCCCCCTGGGCCGCCGCCTCCGGCTCCCGTGCCTACTGCTGCGCCCTTGCTGGCCCAGCAGCAGCGAGTGCACAGCGCGCGCCAGGACTCCAGAGTCTTGCCGGACCAGACCCACACGCCCGACGTGATGCCCACCACCAGACACATGAAGTACTTGAGCATGAAGACCGCGTAATCGGGCCTGCGAGCCTGATCAGGCTGCAAGTCCCGAAGGCACGGGCAGTTGTGAGTGGCCTCCCAGCGTGGACGGTTGTGCTGCTCATAGAAAAGGCAGGCAACAACGACAGCGGCAGGCACCGTGTAGAGCACGGTGAAGAGGCCCAGGCGGATCATGAGCTTCTCTAGCTTGTGCGTCTTGGTTGGGCCTCCTTGCTGTTTGATGACCGAGCGGATTCGAAACAGCGACACGAAACCAGCCAACAGAAACATGGTGCCAATGAAGAGGTAGATGACCAGTGGCGCCAGCACGAAGCCACGCAGGTTGTCGAGGCTCTGGTTGCCCACGTAGCAGATGCCCGCCACCGGGTCTCCGTCCACGGAGCTGAGCGCCAGCACCGCAATCGACTTGACGCTGGGCACCAGCCACGCGGCTAGGTGGAAGTATTGCGAGTAGCCCGCGATGGCCTCATTGCCCCACTTCATGCCAGCCGCCAGGAACCACGTGAGCGACAGGATTACCCACCAGATGGAGCTGGCCATGCCAAAGAAGTAGACAAGGAGGAAGACCACCGTGCACAGCGCGGGGCCGGTGGTTTCATAGCGCACGTGCTGCTCTACTGCTCCCAGCTCCTCGTACTCGCCGCGCGCTCCCGGGCCGCTCGCCCCCGCGCCCGCCGCCCCCGCGCCCGCCGCGGCCGCGCCGCCAGCACCCCCAGCTCCGTCTGCACCCGGAGCGCCACCGCTGCAGGCCACCTTCTCGTGCCCTGCCACCAGGCGCACCAGGTACCCGACTGACACGAAGAGGTAGCAGGCGGAGAGGAAGATGATGGGCCGCTCCGGGTACTTGAAGCGCTCCATATCGATGAGGAAGGTGGAGACGGTGGCAAAGGTGGAGACGAAGCAGAGCACCGACCACAGGCCGATCCAGAAGACTGTGAAGGCGCGCTCATCCTGGCTGAAGAAGGGGTTGTGGCAGGGCAGCGCGCAGTTGGCGATCTGGCCGGTCTTGACGCGGTTGTAGAGGGGGTGGCGTTCGCTGGACACGCTCACCATGGGCGCGCGGCACTGACACCCCGGCTCGCAGGGAGCTGCGCCACCACTAGGGGGCCTCGCCTTCCCGCCGCGCGAGGGGGGCGCCACCGCCGTGTCCCCGCCGCCTCGACTGCCGCCACCACGGTGTGGGGGCCTGGCCCCTGGCGGGCGGCCGTGGCCGCTGCCGGAGGGCGGCTGCTCGCCCGGCGGCGGCGGCGGCAGGCGGCGCGGTGGGCTGGGTGCGGCCGTGGTGAGGTCGGTGCGGTTGTAGTCCATGCACAGAGTGTCCGGGTTGCCCTGCTCCGGCAGCCGGTCGCAGCGCATGCGGTCAGGCCAGGCGAAGCCGTACTGGCGCATGAGCGGCGCGCAGCCGGCCTTGGCGCGTTCGCACACCGAGCGGCAAGGCGGCAGAGGCTTCTTGTAGTCTTCCAGGCAGATGGGCGTGTACATGCTGCACAGAAAGAACTTGAGGTCGGGGGAGCACTGGATCTCCACCAGCGGCCAGAATTGGTGCACTTCCAGGCCCGCCTCGTCTTGCGTGTCGTGGTTGAACTGGTTGGGCATGTAGGTGTAGTTGTAACCGATGCCCTTGCACAGCGGCACCGTGATCTCTTGGCACGCCAGCTCCTTGGCCGAAGCCGCGGCGGCGCCGCTCGAGCGCTGCAGCAGCGCCAAGGCGGCTAGCAGCGAGGTCACTTCCAACAGGTAACCCCACTCCATGTTGCGCGCCGCGGCCCCACGTCCTCCTCCTCTAGGCGGCGCGCGATAAGGCCCCAGGGGACCCAGCGAGGAATCCGAGGCAAGGGAGAGCAGGCGACCAGCGGGTCTTGTGCCGCTTCTCCCCGAAAAGCTGAGAATCCGCCAACAATCTAGCAGCAGGGTTGCAAGCTTAGGCAGAAGTCGTCCGGCCCTCTCTCCGTGCCTCTCCAGGGGCGAGGGTGACCGCAGGCGCGCCACAGTTCCACCGGGTCTGCCCTACGCCCTCTGGGTGGCACTCAGTCCTCCCGGAGCAGAGTGGTGGCCCCTGCGCTCATCGTCCAGAGAGCTCGCGCAGGTCCTCCTGCACGCCCAGCCACTTCGCGTGGCGCCCAGCAGCGAAGGCTCTGAGGGCGGCGCGCAGCAAGTTTCCTTTCGGGCCGCAGTCAAGATGGCTGTGCCTGACGGCTCGCCTCTGGGGTCAGACCTAGCGGCCCCTCTTCGGGCCCAGAGGGTTCATGTCCGTCCCAGACCGCCCGGCCACTGCCAGAGTTCCAGGCCCTCCTCTGGTCAGGCCGCCGCCTTCTCACTCCCGCGTCGGTCCCAGTCGGTCCTCCTGCCTCTGCCGCCGCCGAAAGTCCGCGTCGCGTTCTGGTCACAGTCGGTCAGGGCGCAGTCTGTGCCTTCTTGCGAGACCGACAAACAAACACAGAGCAAAAGGCAAGGGGACACCTGAGGGCCGTGGTCCGCACCAGCAGCCACCTCCTCCTCCGCAGGAGCTGCGCCCTTCGCCCAACTTCCCGGCTCCAGTCAGCAAGCGCCTCCAGGCCGGCTCATGAATATTTATACAGTTTGTACTTGGTTCCCGCCCTCTTCTGGGATCACCAATCACTGGGCAACAGGGCGGAGTCTATGCGCTCTCAAGGCTCAGCCTTCCTTAAGGAAGTCTGTATTTTCCGCTACTGCTTTTCTGGGTTTGGGCGAATGGAGAGTTTGGTGACCTCGGAATTGACCACAAGAATTGAGCATTTTACCAGACTGTCCCCAAAGAGCTCAGCGCTTCAGAGATCGTGATCGCATTTCTCCGAGTCTTCACCTGGGGACTTTACGGGACAGTGTTTTGGTAGTGTGTGCACTTCCCCTGGCTCTCTGAACCTGTCAAGATCCAGCTAGTCTCAGTCCACGGACAACACCTGCTGGTTCTGAAAAGCCTCAGAAGCGCAACGAAGGCTCCGAGTCTGGTCCAGACCTGAAGCTGGGGTATTTAGGGATTTTCATAGCTAGGTCTTTTCAGACTTGGAGATTTGGTGATGTATTGCTACTTCTGTTGCAGTCAGATGATCAGGTTTGGTCATGGGCAGCCCATGAGTACTTCCGAGCCTTGCAATGCCAGGGTACATAAGTGCCCATTGCTGTGTGATCTGGGGCACCTTAATTCCTTACCTAGAAAGCGGGAATGATCAGAACAGATGTCATTGCGTGGGGGGAGGGGGTGAAGGTGTGTGTGTGGTGTTGATCTTTGGATGAGACAAAATAAATATTTGAAGCACGTGGATCCAGTACCTCCTTTCAAACACAAACTGACTAATAAGACACACTGACAATTACTACTGCATTCAGAATTCGCTTGCTACTTTTAAGATATATACTCATCTACCTAAAAACTTAACATGTGCTTGCATGCGCCTCCTTTTCTGCTGTGAGAGGCGGGGCTGTGCGGTAGCGGGGACGCTGGGACCGGTACTGCCTAGGCTCAACACACAGAATCGAAGAGGGTTCAGCAGCCGCCAGCGCTTTCAGCGACCACCTTAAGAAGGGAGGGGGTGTGAGGGGCCAGGGCTTGGCAGGTTCATTTACGCTTGTTAGGACGTCCCAGGGGGTTGTCTTTCTCCTAGAATGGAGTGTTTATTTTTTAATTGATGTGCTGTTTCATTTAGCGCTTGTATGGAACTCATGCTGCGGCTGTAATTACTGTAATCTCGGGAATAAGCATTTCTGATAGCCAGGAGGGTGGCAGGCGCGCGGTCTCTCTCTCTCTCTCTCTCTCTCTCTCTCTCTCTCTCTCTCTCTCTCTCTCTCTCCTTCCTTCCTTCCTTCACTCCCTCCCTTCCTCTTTTTCCCTCCCTCCCTTTCTCTCTCTCCTCCTCTTCTCCCCTCTCTCCTTTTCTTCCTTTCTTTTTGTTTCAGGATTTCTTTTTCTTTTGTTCTTTGTCCAATTTCATACCGGGAACAAGCGGAACTAGAGAAACAAAACTTGCATAGGGACTAGAGACAGAGGCTTACTGCAGGTCCAATCGAGGCCATGCAGGTTCTTTGGGGATGGAGTGGTGGGGGTAATGCTGGGAGATAGCAGTTATCTATATAAAAACAACCTTGTGGCAAAGCAAAATTAGCAACCTTGGTGTATCGTGAGTTCTAGTATTCTGTCTTTCTCCTGCTCTCTGACTCTCTGAGCAGCAACCTCTTAGGAATTGCGCCTTCTGTAGGTCGCAGAAAAATCGCTCCCGCAGTTTGCAGCAGGATTTTGCCCTCCCACGCAAGACTGCTGGGCTAATAGGCACATCCCACCACCTTTCTATTTATTTATTTATTATTTTAAAGTTGAAATCTACTTAGTATATTGTCATAGTGAAAGCACGTTTCCTACTCTTGAAAGCAAGAACTAACTCCTCTAGAATCCAGAATTCAAAGCATATAAGAAGTTGGTTGATTCAGCCGAAAACGGGCCAGGAGGAAAAGCCAAGCCTTTACTCTTTACTTTATTGTTGTTTACTTTTCAGCCGACAGCCCCCCCCCCACCGCCAAGTTCAGTTCGTGAGTTCGAACGTGGAAAGTCGCCATAGGCTGTCCCCCACCTTACTGGGCTCAGGCACTACACTGACCCAGGCTATCAGGAAAGGCAGCGCCTCTAGATGACTGCGCAGGCGCAGGAAGCCAGACTGCCCCCTCCCAAGACCACAGGTGGGAGGAGTCAACTTTCTAAAAGCCACATAGCTGGCGAAGTTTCTACTGTTTTTCTTCAGTAGAGAAATGTCAAATACTGAAGTTTAGAATTACAGTATATAAATTGAGTAGAGTTAGGTAAAACAAACTGACATTTGAAAACTGAGGCTGAAAATAGTTGATTTTGGCTTTTAATTGGCATTAAAAAGTTTTAGAGACAAAATGAATCTTGAGGATGTGGAATGTGGAAAGTTTGGGTAAGAATATTAAGTTCACATGAACTAACAAGCAGACAAAAGTTCAGACTTTCCAAAACCATGGGCTATTTGAAGACAACTGATTTAAGACATCAAGCCACACATTAAAAAAAAAATGAATAGAAATTTACTTTTAATTGAGAAAATACAACTATAGCATTTAACACTATTAGTAAACGGTTTCTTAGCATTTCAGAGTAAGAGTGGTGTCAGGAGCCAGTGAACACACAAAATGACAGGCACGAAAAGAGGAATCAAAATCATTACACACATATGTGTAAGAAAACAGTGATTAAGAATATAACACAGTTTACATTTTAGGGGTAGGAAATAGTTTTAGGAATGATAGGTAACCAAACATTACTTGTCCTTTAACACAGTAGCAAATACATTTGGTTGGTTGCAGTTTGAGGACACTGTTCTTGAGTTCCTGGGGTTAATTCCCAGCACTTCAAAACAAAGCAAACAATGTTTCCATTTAACTGATATCAGAGACAGGAGACAGACTTTTTAGAGAAGAAAGGGTTTTCTCGTCCCATAGTTTTATACTTTCCCTCCAGGGCTGGCCCCAATAATCTTGTGGTAAGTCCACATAGCACTGCAGGGACTGTTTGGCAGAACCCATCCCATAGCTGGAATGCAAGAGACAGAAAAGAAGGAGCCCTAAACAGTTCTTTTAAAGCACATGTCCACATGGACCTGGAAATGTTTAGGGATGCCCATTCGGGGCACATTCTATATCCCAGTGATAGATAGAACAGTTAAAAGGCACACATCTACATCTGGAGAAGAAAGGCTTAAAAAAATATGGAGCACTCTGGAGACCCCCCAAGAGTGTCCTACTGATATCCAAGCTTTTCTAGGAAAATGACATGAGGATGGTGCTCCGTGGTGGAACATCTGCCTAACATCCTCAACACTCTGGGTTCAACCCCCAGGATGTATATAATTTGCTTAGCATGCATGTGTTCTATACTCAACACTATGTAATACTAGACACACTCATGCCAGTAATCTCAGCATGGGGGAGGAAGAGGCAGAAAGTCAGAAATCGAAAATCAACCTTGACTATGTAACAAGTTGGAGGTCAGGCTTGGCTATGGGTGTCCCCATCTTAAAAATAAAAATAAAACAAAACACAAGTAAATCTCGACATAAGAGAGAGCCTAAAATATACTAATAAAATTATATGTTCCAGAGAGTAGATGGAAACTTATTTTATAGTTATGAGAATTCTCAGGTTATACCTATTATAAGCTTATTGTCCTTCAGAAAAGTGATCAAGCATTATATTGATAGAGAATATGAATAATAAGGTATTTTGGCATGCTTTTATTCTGTGTTTCCAAGGACACTGTCTCAGGCCTCCATAAACAGAAGAAAATTTGGGACAAACTGGGTCTTACTTCAATCTATGATGAAATGAACAAGAATGCTGCTGTTTGGTCTCCAGTGTGCACAGACACCTGTACATTAAAGATCTGGACACTATGGTGATGTTATTGACAGGCAGGGGAACCTTTAGGAGACTGCACCTGGTAAAAAGGAAGTGAGGTCATTGGGGGTGTGGCCTTGAATGGAGTATTGAGACCCCAGTGTCTTCTTTCTCTTCCTCTGTACCACTGGGAGGAACTCTGTTCCAGCACATACTTCCTGCTGTTCTGTGCAACCTTGCCATATAGGCCCACCCAGTTATGGACTAGAATATCTGCCTCTTAATTTAATGTTCCCTCTTTTTAAATTGGTTGGTCTCAGATGCATGCTGCTGAAACAGGAAGTTGGACAGTATAAAAGGCTTGCTTATTTCTTAATTCTTCTGTTTTCCTAAGCTCTATTAAGGCTTCCTCCCCTCTGTTTTCTTCTCTAGAAAGAGTTCTTTAAGAAGGACTCTCACTGTGTCTGGTGTGACAAGGTCCATGTGAAGAGGGGGTCAGTTTTAGATCTGGAACTCTCTTTACATTTACCTGCCATTTTGGAAGTGGA